TTCCTCCTTTCTTCACTGTACACGACGACATGGTCATCTGTGGCATTGACAATGTCACCCTCTTCCAAGGACGCACACAAGCCGAGAGAATTGCTTACGAAATATTCTCAGACGATTTCACCACAACGATGGACAGCACCATTGACGAACTAAACAAAGAGTTCAAGACCCTCGCAGGATTGACGATTGCGCAAGGACAGATACGCTTGATGCCAGCTATCAAAAAGAACATCCTCGCATTCATCCAATGGTGCAGAGAGGAGATTCGCATGGGACGAGACCCTACCACAACGCCATTCCCCGTCGTTGATGCAGCCAAACTGAAACTGTTACGAGTTGTGCTGCACAACACCGACAAAAACTGTCATGAATAACGCCAAGCGCTGCACCAATACAGACGAAAACTGCAGGTGCCGCAACACAAAATGGATCAATGAAAAAGAGTGACATTTTCAACGCAAACCAAGAGAATCGCTTATTTAACACACCATCAACGAGCTATGCTATGTTAGCGAAAAGACTACAATGAACTGGTCCATATTTGAACGTATGGCTGCTGAAGAAATCATACGCAGCATACAATAAACATGAGGGGAGAGAAGCCCATTCAGAGGCGAGAAAAGTCCATCCAGACGCAATGAAACTATGGAATGAAACTAAAGACCAAGGTTACCGCCTCATTCCCACAACTGAACAACACAGCAATGGATACGGAAATTGGTGGTAGAGGCCTTCACCACAATTGTTTTGGTGGTGGTCGTGGTCATGGTCGACCAAGCAATAATTATCAACCATATCCAAGACCCTCAAACTCTCCAAGATACTCTCAAGGGACTTCACAACGTTTTCAACGTGGAGGCAATTCCCAGCAACAAAACCAAGGACGATTTCAACCAAGACACCCCAACAATGGTGGTATAGGCCGTGGATTCAATGGCCAGCGCAGTGGACGCTCCCAATCTGGTCGTTTTCAGCCAGGACGAAACTATCAAGGCAGAGGCCAATCACAGCAACAAAACAGTCAAAACTACTATGCTGAGTTGCACTACAATCAAGAAGCTGAAAGCTTTGCTGCGGAATGCAGCGTTCTGGAATGGAACCAAGACGGAATGTCTTATGGTGGAATGCCAAGTGCCGAGCAGTACCAGCATCAGGAACAATATTATCAAGCTGAAGAAAATCAGCAGTGGAATGATCAATTCAACTATGAACAAGAAGAATATTATCCTGAAGAACAGGAGGCGCACGAACATTTTTCCTATGATGAGGATTCGCCATTTTCCTTTCATGAAGAGCATTACTGACCCAAAAATACTTGTAAACTAACAGAGCTTCCTAAGCTTCCTAACCCATTTCTGGAACCTGATTTGTCTTCGTTTCTTTCAGCATTGGAAAAATTTGATGATGAAGATGGTCCCATGACTAAAGATGAAGATGGTCCCATGACTAAAGATGAAGATGGTCCCATGACTAAAGATGAAAAGGAATTTCTTTTGAATGATTCTTTGCTTCGTATACCTACGCCAAAACAAGACGTAAATTCCATGGAGGATTTGATGAGGAAAAAGCGACTTTCACCTACATCTTTGGTGATTTGGAAGACAATTGGAGGAACTGAAATTGGAAAAGTTTTACGAGTATTATTTGATTCAGGAGGATTGCATACAATGGTCAATGCAAGGGCGATTCCTAAAGATGCTAAGGTACAAAGTATTCAAAATGCGAAGAAGTGTACTACTGTTGCTGGTGATTTCGTTTCTGACAAATGTGTAAAATTGCGGGATGGAGTCTTTCCCAAATTTGACAAACACCGCAGAATCGCAGGTGTCGACGGTGTCAAGGCGAATGTCTTCGATTCGCCAACATGTCCACATGACGTCATAATCGGACGCGACCTTCTACACGAAATGGGCTTGGATATCCAATTTTCAAACGGACAAGGCAAATGGATAGACAAGTTCATTCCAATGAAGGCTCCAGATCATTGGCAAAATCACACCAACTACTCAATGGCATTGGATCGCGATGTTCTGGATATCTACGATGATGATGATGATGATGATGATGATGATGATGATGATGATGCCTTTATCATGGATGCGAAATATGAAGCTACTTCAGGTGCTGAAGTTGCTGACAAGCAAAAGCATCTAACTGAAGGTCAACGCAAACTTTTGGCTCAAGCGTTGCAGAATACAGACGAGATTTTTGATGGTCAACTCGGCCATTACAAGCATGAGAAGGTTCACTTGGAGCTCATTGAGAATGCGCAACCCGTGTTTTCAAAAGCGTATTCTGTGCCGAAGCAACATGAACCTGCATTCCTCAAAGAGTTGAAACATCTACGAGAGATTGGAGTCCTTGAACGAACAGGACCGTCAGAATGGGCGTCGCCAACATTCATCATTCCAAAGAAGGACGGTAGGGTGCGATGGATCAGCGATCTCCGACAGCTGAACAAGAATGTCAAGCGTAAAGTATACCCCTTGCCTTCAATTGATGACATTGCTGCGCGTCGTTCTGGCTACAAGTATTTCACAAAACTTGATCTCACAATGATGTATTATTCTTTTGAATTGGATGAGCCAAGCAAAAAACTTTGCACGATCAATACCCAGTACGGTTTGTACCAATACAACCGAATGGCAATGGGATTGAAACCGGCTCCTGATTTTGCCCAATACTATATCGAAAAAACTCTACGCGACCTAAAAG